TTGATTTCATACATCATCGTGGAATGATAAGTTTGACCAAAAAAATTGTGTGACCATTCTAGAAGATGCAAATAGAATTTTGGTGAATTTCATCTAAAGGTCTCAAAAAGAATCTCCGATACGGGGAGTCGAACCCCGGTCTGGACGGTGAGAGCGTCCTGTGCTAGCCGTTACACCATATCGGATTTGATGAAGGGTAAAAAACAAAAAACAAACATATTCAACGCAAGAATAATATTTAGACTCTAGTTTGTTTTTGACTATGAGTGCTTTTTTATGTCAACAAAAGAGTCTGTCACTTACTAAAAGCACAAGGGAAATTACGAGGAGCAGAAGCGGCGCTTTTAAAAGTCGTTTAAGATGAAACTACTGAAACAAAATTTAAAACTCCTTTAGTGGTTTTACATCTCTCCGGTGACACCCTATAATATAATGTTTCCTTAATAAAAAAAAAACCATCGAGGTAAAAGCGACTACTACAGGAGATTAATCCTAGGAATCGATGACGTAATATCCAATACGTAAACAGATACGGGCCATGAGGACCGTCCAGTCCGTGACTAACGGAAGGGGACGGGCCGAGCTAAGACACCTGGTACGTAGTTGGGAGCTGTATGAAGGATTTTTTATATATATCATTCATATAGTTTTGCTCCTGTAATCAGGTGTATTTAACCAAAAAAAAAAAAAAATAAAACTTGATAATCAATCTGGTCAGATCTTTCTAGAGAAAAGGTGTGAAATGATCTGCTTCTTCATGAAAATAGACATATTCTACATTAACTTAATCTTATAAACTGCAATAAGTATGTAATCACTTACTCGAACTACGAGCCATGAAATATATACGTTGGAGTGAAGTTTTATCTGATTTTCTTGCAAGCTGCAAGAGAAAGCAAGTATAGTCGAATATGTAGCACTACTTGGCATCTTTCAAAATGTTTCCTAATTTCAGCAAGTCAACCTTGCCTTTACCCTTATCTGATGGCCTATCCGGATGTGTTGCTAAAAGATTTGGGTGCCAAAACCCACAGCCGGAGTCTCTCTAGCCTGTGAAAGCAGAACAAAAAATTATCAACAGACACTTTCAAACAAGAAAAGCAGACCTTGATCATACAGCAGTGCTTTATTTTATAATTCGCAGTGGACACTGAAAAATGACACTGGAATGCCCGAATTCGAATTAAAGATCATGAATAGTAATCAAAACTACCAAATATTGATTCAGCCCAAAATAATAGCAGCCATTTCTTGTAGACGTCACTAATAGGCTTAAAAATGCGAAGGCACATAAACCACTAGGGGCCATGTGTTGTCAATCAGGTTCCAGGCGCCAGGTTATATTTTCAAAGTATCTACGAAGATACGATTTTTACTGCTGTAAATTTCAATTCTATAAAACCAACTTTTTCTTTTTATGTTTATTCTTTTAATTGAAGGAACATAACCATAAAGTACTATATAATCAGACGAATCTACTAAGAAAACAGGAAGTCTTGAAATTGAAGTTATTAAGGGACAATAAATCGTACCGCTTCGCCAGTCTGATCTTCAAAATCCTTTTCAAAAGTGTGCTGACGGACCGCGGGGAATAATTGAATGAAGCGCTATGGCATTGTCTAGCAGGGGGTGGGTTTAAAAACTCATATTATAGGGTGTCACTGGAAGTATTTAAGTCCCACAACTAACAAAAAACGATGAAACAAAAAAAAAATAGTAGATTGCAACATTGGCTCAGGTGAGACGGCGCGAGCACCAATTCACGAAATTTCCCAAAGAGGATGTGAACCCTCAAAAAACTTACGCTCATAACTAATGTCAACCACTTGAATAAATTTAACTAAATGCGATCGTACCATAGATATGTTTTCCAAGGGCCCGTAACGATAGTTTTTTTGACAAGGCGACAAGACGTACATTCGTCTTTGCCTTCTGGCCCCTAAGCAAATAAACCCTGCGAAAGACTGTAACAAACCGGTTAGATTTTCTTAGATTGTCAAAGGAAGTATTTGAAGGAGCGAGCATCTCCTTGGAGCTTGAAAACCGATCCTCTACCACCAAAAATGCACACTCTCACATTCATTGTAGAGGTGGGTTAACTCCTGATCGCTATAACAGCTTTTCAAACACAACCTGCATTCGAATATTGAGGCCCCAATTTCATTATCATGAAAGAGAACATATGAACCGTGATTGAATAGATGGATGGCAGCAAGATCTTTTTGCGACAACCATTCTTGTTTGTATAATTCCTGAAATTTTCGCCAGCGTTTCGTTGCCTTCACTTCAGGGCAGATCACAAGGAAACGCGCCGAGCGAAATAGCGGAAGTTCTTCCTGTTTGTGCCGGCTCAATGAACGAAACGCCGTATATTTTATAGCTTCGATCTCATGAGATTCTATAAGTAATCGGTACGGATGAGCCAGCAGACACCTTCCAGTCAGTATACTCAAAGAGTTGTTGCTTCGTCATTGTAGTTAACACCGGACGTTGGAAGTCGCGAGTTCTTGGAACAATCTTTTCAGAGCTTCGAAAAAGTTTTTTTTTTGGTAGATTCATCTAATTCGTTAGGGTTGAGCTTCCATAGCATCGGTCAGGAAATAGACCAATGTTGAATTTAAGCATCAGAATATTTTCGACCGGCCTGACTTTCTTAATTGTTTTTATTCACTAAATGTAATGAAGTTTGTAAATATTAGTAATGTACTGAATTCTATGTGCATCGAATGGGCGTGTGGTCTAGTGGTATGATTCTCGCTTTGGGTTGTGTTCTCAGCTTTCTGGATCCAAAACAAATATGCGAGAGGCCCTGGGTTCAATTCCCAGTATGCCCCTTCCTTTTTTGCGAGCGTGGAGTGTTGGACAAAGTTCGCGCATAATCAAAAGACGAGAATTCTGGAAGAAAATGATCTGCGTTCATGAGTCACTTGCGCAGCTCGCAAAATGTAATTTTTGAGAACAATGCGCATTTCAAAAGTGGGGGACACCTTTAATTTACTACAATAGACGAGCTAATTGCCACACAATATCCGTGTTTTTATATCTTTTTAACAGTTTCCCGCATGTGCAAAAATGGCAGAATGCACCCCTCAATATTCACCAAAAACACTTTCAAAAGAGTGTGCGTGACGCTTTTGACATCATGTGAATTTATGCACAACTCAACTAATAATTTGTGCAACTTGCCACGTTCCTTAACATAACTGTTTCTGAAAAGTGATGCCCCCAATTGGATAAGGTGTTTTTTTCGATCAAAGTTTCGCTGTCGCCTGCTATGTTTTTTTCTTGTAAAATCTTCCCCAGGGTCATTATCATCGATGTATCCAATTGTATAATCGGTGGTATCTGCATAATTGCTCAGTCGATGATTGCCTAGTTGATCATAATTTAGTTCATGTCATATGTCATGATTCGTTTGATGGGAGGACCATGCATTGTGAAGCCGCCTGGGGGAAGGGCTCATACGAAGTGCGCAATCTAGGATCTGTGAGCTGGCACATTTTGACACATCCTATTGGTGGCCTTTCATTTAAGCCGCAAGGGCGGAAAATCCAGGATTATATTCGACATTGATGAGTCTTAAAAAAGAGGGAAGAGAACAAGACAACTTGAAACGAATAAATAGAGATGCGTTTGGCCGCGAAAAAGTACAATATTGACCCTTTTTTAAAGAGCTTCATCATAACAACGGGTATCAAGTACAAGATCACTAATACTTCTTTTCCCCTACTGCTCTAATCATTGCTAAAATGTCCGTGCCAAAAAAGTCTTTTGACTCTACTCACACGTACACAGCATCAGTAAACTCAATACTGACCGGAGGAAAATCACAGACTCTTGCAATCGAAGCGCAAAATACCACGACAGACAAAACAAAAAAGTCTTGCTTGAAGAAGCTTTCAGAAAAATTGATTAAAAAGCAAGAGAAAAGCGAGCTGAAAGAGAGATCTGCGGTGAACTACGAGTCTGCTGCTGGATATCTATCATTGAGATGAGAAAGAAATACGGAGTTGTCCACATATGAATCTTACGGAGTCTACCAATTTATTGAAGTTATGATTTTATTAAATATAAATAGCTTTGATTAGGTTTGTAGCTGTATAAACGGGGTGTTCTCGTTTCAAAATACAACCCTAAAAAACTAGTATCAGTATCTGTATGAAACTTTTGGGCCTGAAGGTATTGCCAAGACTGTTATGGAAGTCTTCTTAGATAAGATTTGCCTCGTGAATAACATTGTATTTGCTCTTTGTAGGGACGACGAATTATGAGCTTGAAAATGAGGCGATGCAACTTTTGAAAATATGACTCACTTCCCTTTTTGTAGTCGACAAAACAGGCAGGTCTCAATGCATCATATCATAATATAAACTGCAAGATAGCATCCCTGCTTAGTCACATCCCATCCCTAACTCTGTCAAAATTTTATTACTGTTAATCTATATACTTTGTGAATTCGTGAGAGTCTTTCGCGTCTGATCTAGCAAAAGCCCACATATTTGATCGATGTTCTTGACGTCCGCTTGCAACTTGGCAAAATCATGTTTGAGAAAACGAAACAATCGCTCAGGTGTCATTTCGGTAAGGAAACTGGTGCACTTTTTGTATGCTTCACTAGCACTAATGACTGCCTGTATGTGTTGCCACGAAGATTCGTCATTCTTGTATATCTCAGCAAAAGTGTCCTTTATTTTTTTCGAATACACTATTGTGTTGCGCATGCTGGTAGAGATATGTCGGGTGTTATCCGCCATGAGTTCTTCGCTTTGTGATATGACGTCCTTGAAAAGCAAGATGTCCTGCTGCAAATCTTCACAGCCTGTAAGACACTCACAAAGATGCTGCTCGTAAATGTTATTCCCTGCGGAATCAAAAGACTGGCGCGACTCGTTGAGCATCAAGAATCTTGTTGCCGATGCTTGGAGCCGGTTGATGACTCCGATGAAATGCTTTCCGATCGAACTTACGCTCTCAAAAGCACATATCACATTTTCTGTCGCAGCACAAGCTTGCTTCCTGGCAAGCATCATTACCTCATGAAAGTCCCTTAGATTTGAGGGGACCTCATAAGTAGATTTATCCTGGATTCTCTGAAGAAGCATACATAACTCGTTTGAAAACAGCTCTGCTTTGAAGGTGAATAGCAGGATAGATTCCTGAGACTCCTGTTTTTGCTTTCCCAGCAATATGGAAGACGGCAAGCGTATTTGAGTCTGATATTCTTCGGGCCTTAAAATGTCGTCAGCGTAAAACTCCTGTACGCCGATCTGAGCGTTGAAGTGCACTTTTTCACGGCCCACTGAGGCTTGAGAATTTGTCAGTGTAGTTCCAAACTTGAGCTTGGAACGTATCAAGTCGTAGTACCGGAACCGGCGGTAGTCTTTATGCTTGGAGCTTAAAAGCGGTGCCTCCTTGATGTCTGTGGTCGTCAGACTGTTCTTGTACAGCAGAGGCTCTTCGTCATCATTGGAATCTCCTGAAAAGTCCACGAGCTTCTGAAATGTAGAAACAGGAAAACCAGAGAATATACCCTCACGGAAAATGCTGCTCAAGTAGGAGTTCTTGTCGGTTTCGTTTTTTGTTGATTCTTCGTGCTCCGGGCATTCTGTATCGAAGCTCGGCCACTGAACATCCGAAGGGAAGAAATAGCCAGCAGCCTTATCACAGGGATCTATCACAACGTTCTCGTCGTCGAAAATGAAGTACAAATCCTCATCGGGGATGTCGGATTCCAGGGGATCTAATGTGTGGTTCATAGGGCTACCGGTCATAGGAGTATGTGTACTGAACTGGCGGCCATAGCACAATGTGCGAGCTTTATAGAGTTGCCTTTTCTGGTCTCATAGAAATGTATCAGCATACCGAAAAGTATTTGGGTGTTTAGACCCATCTAGATATGGCATACTGGAAAATGCGTTTGGGTGAGTCTTTGCCCCAGTCGAGGAGACATATTTGACAACGAAGCAAATCAGCCCATAAGAAGAAAAGACTAGGATTCTCTCAGTTTATAAAGCCCTTTGTTTAATGTCAGGTCTTTGCACATCTAGCATGGATCCTGGAGGACATCAGGACACGAACATGGGAACCAGGCCCGGCTGCAAAGTCTGGCATATAACGTGCACACAAACAGGGACTGCACATAGATCGCTCTCGCCGGGCCCGCGTCTAGGCTGACGTGGATGATTCGGAGACACCATGCAGAGTAGACATCACATCTTCTTCTGGACCACATCTTCCTGTGCTTGACGAAGCCATATTGAATCATAAGTAAATTTTTTTTTGATCCTTTCATAGTTGTATTTTAAAGGAATATGCGCCTGTTTATTACTCTTCTAGCTGTTCTGGCAGTCTGCTCTGCCAACATGTTTAATTTCTTTAACAACCAACAACAGGGCCAGCAACAAGAGCCGCAATTTGACTTCGAGGGCCGCGTTCTCGAAAGCCTGTGCAATGAGTATCTCTGCCCCGACACTTTGGCTTGTGTTGCTCTGCCCAAAGAATGTCCATGCAAGTTTCCATCGTCGCAGCTCAGGTGTGTTTTGCCTAACCAGGAGTACATATGTATTTCGAAGCCAGCTGGTAATTTGGAAGGCAAATATGATGACCCGGCACTGAACTGGAAAGTGGACGCGAAGGACGATAATGTGAGGGACTGTGGTTGGGTGAAGAGGGCCTGGCTGGGGGCTTTGTAGGTTGGCTTCTATACACCTAATGGGCGGTTCATGGGAGCCACCATAGACCCTGCTAATAGAAAGCGAGTCTTATACTTTGGATACAGAGAGAGATGTCTGTGTTCTTTCTTGGTGGGAAATTGCGGTCTTTGGCGTGCGTGGCTTGCTGGATACATGGCCAAGTCTTTGTTTTGGGCCACTGCGCCATAAGTAAACCAGGCGGGTATCCACTGGAAATTGTGAATCAGAAACGAGAGATTCCCGGGCTCAAGCGTGTTTGTTGGAGTGCTCACAGACTCGACGTCGCGGCAATCCAAGTAATGGCCCGGTACAGGGAGCATTGATTATGCGTGGCCCTATTTCTGGATTAAAAATTGTCCGATACACGCTTGAGGGTGGAGGCAGAGCTACACGTTGTCCTTGAATGCTGGTCTTCGATATATGTCTATACAGTACTTAGTGATATGTTTCATTCATTCCTCGAACTGAGCTTGTCCTTGCTTTGGAAATTGCATGAAGAGTATGTGTAGTGATGTGTTTTATTTCTCCAGAGCTTGCAGAGACGGCCCACTCTTGCCACGATCAAGCATGCGTCTTTGAACCCACATCCCTTGGAATTAAAATGTACATTTGCAGACAATTGCTGGTAATTTGTGAGAGAGCAGAGTCTGACAAATATTCCATTATTGTATAGCGTCCACAAACATTTGAGGGCAAGCCACTTGGAGTAACCGTCTTTCTTGACGCATATTTGAGCCAGCATGGGGCTGCAGGCGCAGCTACTTGAGCCGGCCCAATGAGCCAGTGCAGACCACCCCGATGAGCACTATGCATCTGGGAACCCCGCTGCAAGACCGAAGGAGGCATCACTCCAACCAAAGCGCACGATGGAGGATTAAATACGAAAGAACACCAGGCCTAAAGACTGGTTGCTCTGGGCACACCGCCCTGGCCCTTGACGAGATTTGCAGGATTCACGGGGCGCAACCCCTTCTGCAAACAGAACGACAGAACGGAGTCTTGCTGACGCAATCCATTCTGCAACAGAACGAAGTCTTTCAAGCCGCAGCACGGGCGGGGACGAAACAGAGCTTCTCTTCCGTCACGCGCAAGACGGGCGACAAGAACATGCTAGTGTACATGAAGCCGTCGGTGGTCACCAACCACCTCAAGAAAGGAACGAAGCCGTCGCCGAAATCCGCCACGCGCAAGTGCTGGACGCTCGAGTACAACGCCATGGACTTCTCGAGGTCGTCGAACGGGAGCGTGGAGAGCAAGCTGCTGCCGTCGAGCACGTTGGGCTCGGGCCCCAAGACCACGCCAAAGTAGTCGGACGAGTGGTTGGCCACGAAGTCGCCCGCGGCAAAGCCCGCGTCCGCCGGGACGGGCTGCGAGGCGTAGCCAAGGTACTCTGTGTTGGCCCTGAAGGAGGGCGCCGCGGCGCCGCAGACCCGCGAGGCGGCGTGGAAGTAGAGGTGGAAGTCCGGGTTGTGGATCAACAGGCGGAACGCGGCCTCGTCCAACGGCCGGCGGTCGCACACGTGGAGCAAGACGGTGCGGAGAAACCGCAACTTGACGAGGCTGGAGGAGAGGGGCACGGTGGCCCAGTCGCGGGCTAGCATGTCGGGCGCGGCGCGGGCGCCCGGGGCGCCGGACTCGAACGCCCGCTGGAGCACGTCCCGCGTGCAGATCTTGCCGGTGGCGCCCGGGCGCAAGGCCTCGGGCATGCGGTGCATGTCCCTTCGCTCGTAGAACGTGCAGGAGCCCTCTTCCAAGAGAACGAGCACGTAGAGCAGGCCCACCACCAAGAACACCGGCGTCAACGCCACGGCCGGGCCGCGGAGCCGGCGGCCCGCCACCCGCACGGGCATGCCGCGCAACACGTCCTCGCTGAGAACACGGGCCACGATGGCCATGTAGGGCATGTGCGTGCCGCCGCCCAAGCCCTTGTAGAGCCGGAGAATGTTGCCGCCAAAGCCGGCCGTGTAGTGGGCCGCCCGGAGCCGGCCGAGCGTGAGCTGGATGACCCGCGCAAGGTACGCCCGGTACGCCGCGCTGGTCGGGAAGTCGAGCCCCGCGGCCTGCCCAGGGAGAAGCGGGCGGAGCGCCGCCTGGATTTCCGCCCGCACGCGTGCCCGGTGGCGCGCCAATTCCGCGAAGTCGTTGTAGCACCGCGAGAGCTCGAAGTAGCACTGCTCGATCCGGACCACGTCCTGGGCCTGCGCCGCGTCCTCACCCATGAAGAACTCGGCCGCCCGCGCGAAGCTGTGGAGCTGGAAGAGCTTGCGGCACCACGCGAGCCGCGCCACGGGCACGTCCACGGCGCGCCGGCGGGCCTGGACGGCGCCCTGTTCGTAGCTTGCCATGGCGGCCCGCATTTCGAGGAGAATGGCCACGACGTGCGTGTCGCTGGCGACGAGCCCACCCAAAACACGGGCCACGGCCGCGGCGCCGGCGCCCAAAACACGGGCCTCGGCTGCGGCCCCGGCCTCTGTGCCACGAGCCGCCGGGCCGGGAAACGCCGCCTCCACGCGGTCGAGAGCCCGGCGCGTCTCGTTGAGCGCCCGCCACACCTGGCGTTTTCCGGGCCGGAGGTCGAGCTCATAGCCCCGCAAGTCGTCGCCGAGACGGGCCTCCACGACCCCGCGGAAAAGCTCGCTGGTGTCGACGTGGAGCCGGAGCGCCGAGCTCGTTTGCGTCAACGCCACGTAGTCGTCCACCAGGACATGCTGCAAGATTTCGCTGACGATCTCGGTAGGAAGCGTCCACCACATGCAGTCTGGGGGGGAGGGGGGTGTTTTTTTGATGGCCCGGGGTGCTGTTTGCGCAGGCTAAGGTGGGTTGGTGGATCTCTGGCGTGGAGCCGCGACAGTCTGGGGTACAGTTTGGAGCGCGCGCATCCTGGCCGGGCAGATGGGGGAGAGGAGGGGAGCCTGGGCTCTTTTGCTTTATATTGTCTTTGATGGCGTGGATTTTTTTTTTTTTTTTT